CTTTTGAAACTTTGAAGAACTTGTGCAGTCCACTCTCTTCGAACACAGTTTCGGTGGCGCAACGGTTAGCACAGGAGGACCATATGCCTGAGATCCAGGTCCGAGAGTTGGCTGCAGGGGCAAATTTTCGCCCGTAGTTTGGTGTTCTACTGGCAAGTGTGAATAGTGTTGAAATATTGGAAAGTTTTATAGGAACGCAGAAAATACATGGCACAATCGAAATAATCGACATATGTACATCACAAAGACAGTGAGAACCTCCCATGATACAGAAAAGGAAATATTATAGTAGCCACAAATAATCAGAAAGCACTATGGTAGGCAAGACCAATCGCCAAGTTATACAGCGAAAAATCCTAGAAACTTGAAACAGTTTCGACGTTTGATTTCCGTTTTCATGAGTAAAGCCACTATTCAGCTCCAGATCCTTCAGTTTCACGTACAAATCGCGTCTCGTCCTGAAACAAAGGATCAAGATTCAGTAATGCTGTCTCGAACCCGAAGCAAAATTCCTAGTACTGTTCATAATTACAAAACATATGTCTAAAGATCACACCGACCTCTCCCGATCCTTCGATTTCACGCGCTACTCTTGCAGGAATCAGATCCTGAAAATGTGCATTCATGATAAGAAATGCCGTCTACGCCGATCGTATGGGCGAAGTCAGAACCACCACTTCACTTTTCTGGCTGGTAAGTCTTTTTCGTCTCTCTCGAACATGAAGTGAAGGGTGAAGTAAAAATCACTCTCAAAAGGCATTATGTTGGACCTCACCCCGCCCATTTGATCAGCCTGGACTGCATCTCTGAATCTTATATTACCCCTGAAAGTTAGTCACTGAAGCAATGAAGGAACTGAAGTGATCTGTTTACCTACGAAGTAGTTGGATTCTCAGCAGAGCCCGTCGAATTGGTCCAGGGTCCTACGAAACTCCCGTGAATTCCTTGCTGGTGAAAGTGAAGGATCCACCCCAGCTCATAGTCACTCCCACAGCCAACAGCCAATGTTCGACAAGTAAGGTTCTCGGGCAAAAAGAGTTGGAAAATGGAGTAGAGAGGAACGAATTGATCAATCCCGGGTAACGCCATGCATTCGACTTCAACTCAAAGTCGTAGAGGCATTCGACTGCTCGCCTGCCTTGTTTATCCCACCGAAGATGTGGTGACAGTAATGGTGGATTTGTATGTTAACGTTCTGTTGTGCTAAAGGTTTCCTCTCGCGCGATGGCGCCTATCACCTTCCTAATGGAAACTATGGCTAATATGACGCTGAAGGAACGGTTAATAAAGCTGTGAGGGTGCTGACGTTTTCCGTGTTGTATGTACAAGCAGAATGAAAGTCTCATTCTGCTACTTTCCGACACTGCTGATCTCTAAGGAGAACTCTCGTAGGTTCTACTCGGCCTTCACACTGCTGATCTCTAAGGAGAACTCTCGGTGCGAAACCAGGGGAACGATCTACTGAAGGGCACGGCAGTATCGTGATTTACTTGAGTACAACGCTGCTAAACTTCTAAAAAGAGGAGGATTGTCACCCCGGAAACCTTCTCAGAGTTGTTTCTCGGTGATTCCCTGCTGGCAGATACTATGAATATGATCGCCTTCAGTGTTCGGACCTCAACGCAATCTATTTCAAAAATATTTAGAGAATATCTACCTCTCCAGATCCTTCAATCTCGCCACTTTGTCGAGAAGGAGCCTATAAAAAGTGCATGAAGCTGTAGGAGAAGGGGGAGAATGTTACAAAGTTGTAATTTTGCCTTATCAACAAGACTTTCACGATTACGGAAGTGCGTTTAAAGTACGGTACAGGAGCAGTCGCTGGAAGTTAGTTAGTCAATAGTTTAAATGACGCATTGGGGTCAGTCCCTCTCACAACCAGTCGCGGCCTATGCTTCCCGGGAATTTTTAGTGGCACCCCTCGAATTCTTGCAATATCAGAGCTAATCAGGCGACTCGTAATAGAGGATGAAGTTTTTGGCGCTGATCATTCCCTTTTCAGGCCACACCCTCTACTTCTATTCAGAACATAGAAGCTCATGGAATGCGATGCGGTCTACACAGTTACATGCAGGGCCAGTCGATGTACACGTCACTTTTCCTATCCATCTCGAAAGTCAGGTACCAATTTACGGCCCACGGGGAGATAGAGGGCTTAGTTGGCTGGGAGGGAGCAGATCGACCCCGTACCGTGCGCATGGTATGCGTGGCACTTGCCACTACACTACTTCCGCCCGACTCGTAATAGTACTTCTAAACTTACATCTCCTGACGATTCTTCGCTGCTAACGGAAGTGTCTCTGACCACTCGAACCACACCAGAAGTTACGAGCTAAAAAATCGAAGTCCAGTGGAAGCACGACAACACGTACTCGCTGTCAACTCACCTCTCCTGAATAATAACAGTTTTCGACGATTGTTATTAGCGGACGTTCTCTGTGGAAATAATCTCTTAATGATGATATCAGAGTAGTCACATGATGGTCCCGCTAGCGCACGCTCACAGTATCCCACCCCAACTTGGAAACAAGTACGTCGAATTTTCCACTTCTCTAGACAGCTTAGACTTCAGCGAGATTGAAGAGAATAAAGTGTTTCTCTTAAGTAGAACAAAAGTAGTGGCGAAAAACCAATTGTTTCCTTAACTGCTCATTATTTATTTCGATGAGATCACCATTTATTTCCTATATTTCAATCCCTGAATTTTGAAACCATTACAAAAAGGAGACCCGTCATGAGTTCTGCTTGCTAAACAGTTCCCAGGTTTAAGGGCATCGATGCGCCCAGCAAATCAATTAGAAGCGCCGTCTCTAGTGCAGGACTCCGCCCCTCCAGCAAGGGTGTTGCACAAACAAGGTCCATAAACTGAATGACAAACCTGAAAAGGCCAATAATATTATTGGTGTTTGACGCCCATATCTTCGCAAAGACCGGTGGTACTTACAGGGTCAGGCGCCTAATTGCGCGGCTCTTGGCGGAGGGGGAGGTCATTCGACAAAAGAAACACAATTCACGCGCTGCTGCGGCAATCGCGGTGCGGAGCGTCGCCACCGCAAATGACGATGGCTCCAGTTAGTAGATGGCGACAACAGGCAATTCAGAACCGAAAATAGTCATGAATGTTTATGATGACGGGATCTACCATTCCACACCTTCCCGCCTGTTCAAGGTCGACCGATGTTGAACAGTTGAAAGGCCGCGCCCATCGCCGCGCGCGGGCCTGGAGCGGCCAAACACGATTCTCTTGCCCGTCTCCCCTTCTTGGGAGACTCCTCCTTCTACTTCTATGCGCAGCTCTCATACATACCGATTCCCCTGTCACGCATCTAATCAGCCACCAGAAATCACACACATAGCTCGTCTGTAGAAGACTGCCACTGACATACTTGGAGCCCTACTTCCCGATTGGATCATTACAGGGGTGACGAGATACTTGACTGATAATGAAACCGACAACGCAGTGCATACAAACGTGGACTAATATCACCTTTTGCGGTGTTGCCACTGTCCTTCTTCCGAATGACAGGAGGCCTCTGCCTTTCTCTTAACACGCTTCACCTGAAAAAAAACATCTTCTAAATAGTCATTACAGTAGGATTCATTCTAATCAATCACCTCAGCAGCTGAACCTTCTTTCATTGGACTTTCATCCATTTTATTCGTCTTCCGATCTTGAGTTTCAGTTTCCTCTTGAGAGCTGGACGACTCTTCGGAGTTCTTCTGACTCTTCCGAACAACTCGTGTTAACTGCAACGAACGGAATTTCACCAAAAAGGCGCTGAGTGTTGAGGAAGTGAGTCTTATGGTTAGTCCCTGAATCTTCTACAGGATTATCTGCTGGTCGGTTTCCTGCTGCAAATGGCACTTTCCGCGAGTTATGAGGGGGGACTTTTCCCTTTAAACACTGTGCATCCACACAGTGGTGTGCCCTTCCCTCTACCTTATCAGGAGAACAGCACCGGCGCGGTGAGGGTACAGCGGTACAGTGGTCTCCCCGCTTCAGGTTATAGCGAACGTAACGGCGCAATGAAGGTGCTCTCGCCAAAATCTTTCTGTCTTGTGGCAGTCTCTTTTTTGAAACCAGATACCTCTTCAACGCTTTTTGATCCCCGTTGCCATACAAAAGGTAAACCTTTTGGGTGAGAAGGGCACGTCTACTTAACCCATGTAATCAGATTGTTCTTTTGTGTCTATTGATTGTCTATTAATCCTTGAGCACATAACATCCAAAAAAGTGGTGTCGTTCAAGGAACTTACCAGCTGATCGTCGGGTGAAATGTCGGTTTTGCGAACAGAGTAGGCGACGGCGGCCACGACAACCAAAAGAATCAAGATAAAGGTTCTCATCTTCTGAAAATGGAAACACTTCATCCAAAAGCGTTAGCAGATGACTGCGGTACTTGTATTCGAGAAAACGAGTAACGCAGAGCACCTGCAGTTCCAACCAACGACAATGCTTCAAAAGTGCTCCACTGCAGTAATTTTTCAAAAATTTAGGTGCACTCAGGCAACGAAGCAGTCGCTAGAAAACGAGAATGGGCTACTTCAAGGTCGCAGAAAGTCCTAAGCGTCCTGTGATGATGCTGCTTCCCACACTGACGAGATGGCGCGCCTAATTAGTTCGGAGGTCGAACATGGAGCTCGAGTGCTGAGAACCTAGTCCCTAAACGCAGGTTACAGGGCTCTGCCAACCGGACATGCTTTTGCTCGCGCAGAGTTCAGAGATATTATATCAGTCGTAATCTGTTGGCCCCATCAGACGAAGCGAGAGCAAAAGAAGGAGAGGGCAGAGTCGAAGAAGGAAAAAGGAAGATCAGGAAGAAGAAAGAAATGAAGGAAGAGCGAGTTTCCCGCGGTTAGACAAGATTCCCGCAGACGCATAGAGAGCACTGCCCATGCACGGTAGATCGCAAGTGAGAAGCGCACAGAACAGAGATCCAATAGAATGCGTTAGCAGGCTAAGAGCAGGTGCTCCTAAATGAGCACGTGGTTGTTTGCAGAGAGGAATGATTGAACCACGGGCTTGTGTTCCCAAAGGTCAATCACGTCAGCAGTTTAAATGAAATTTTTCCACTGGACCCACAACTGTCACCTCTCAAGTACAATCTCTTGAAATACGAGACCATTGTAAAACGTAATACCATGGTCGTCGAGAATTCCAAATTTCCAAATCAAAAATCTTTCCGTGAAGACTCACAGCGACTTATGGTATTGCTCACGTCTAGGACCAATCCTGACTAGGCCCTTACACGGGCCCAGCTTAAAAGAGAGAACAAAAAATCACTGGATATTTGCTACCTATTAGAATTGCTAACTGGGGTGTTTCCTTTCTAAGAGACTAACCACAGTTTTCGGTTTTTCCAAGACTCTTCGTTGACTAGTGGAGGTACTGAAGAAGAATTTTCTTCATCGAAACATTTTGCCTTGGGTGAAGTAACAAGTTGGCCCAGAATTCAACAGTAGGTTCGTAGAGTATCACTCAGGTTCTCCTTGACTACTGTGCTGTATTCACAGCGATATCAAGGTAAGCCAACGTTGTCTCTATCGGAGGAGAATCCCATAGGTGGTTGACCAGTATCTCGAGATGCTCCTCAAGGTGTTAAGGCGGTTTTTTGGAGAGCATTACGAATTACATCTCTTTTCTGGGCTCTTTCGGGGCTCCGGAAGAAAAGCCCCGTAGCGAAACCGAATGTTTGGCAGTTGGTTAGAAACAGTCGAAACCTTGGACAGATTAGATAACAATACTTCAGCCTAACAAGTCACAGTCACAAACATGCCAATGATCGAGCAGACAAGCGATCTTCGTAGTAAGATTCAAGTTCATAATTGCCCCATAGAAAAGGAAAGTGGAGTGGTGAAAGCTCGAAGAAATGCAGGAACCAAAAGGGTAACTAATAAGAAAGGGACAGAATGAGAAAGACCAGAGAGTGACCCCATGTTGAGGAAAACAAGCATCGCCTGAAGCCGTCACGACGATTAATGAGGCTCAGATTAACGATGACCCTGTCTAATGAGGGCGACGGCAACACCCGATCCTATATTCGTAAGCCCATATGTGGACTAGAGACCATTCAGGCGTGGAATCGTCGACGCAATTCTATATTGCTTGCATCGTGACGGTAGGATTTGAATGCGTCTGAGCCTCCACTATTCTTTCTGGCAATTAGGGCATATTCCGTGGTTAGGGAATTATTCTTCATTCAGCCCAACTACCTCTAGTTACCCACTGCTCTAAAACGATGAACCCTTGAACCCTGATAAATCCCGTGCTTACTGTATCCTCACTACCCCTTTCCGACAGGTCCTAGCGCAATCTATCTTCGGCGGGGCTGCATTTTCAACAGCTTAGCTACTTACTCTACTGCTTAACTATTGTAATATTCCAGTCGCTCTGTTACTCGAGGCAACACGCATATAATGGGGAAGGTAAGTAGCTACACCCGAAATCCCTGAGATGCGGTAGGCGTGGCAGTATAGTTCAACTAAATGCAGCGGTTGTGCTTTTCGTAAGATATTTTCATTTTGACGCGATTGTGGTCATCTCTCTGTCCAACACAGGGCAAGATGCCTCGACAATATCTCACGAGTAACTCGTCCTATGCCATGTCCAAATGTCACCCCACCACGTCTTAGGGATAAGGAGCGTAGAACGTTTACAGCAGTAGAACAAAGCTAATAAAAGAAATATCATCTCGATTCAGCATGCCTAGAAGATAGAAAGAATGCCACGGGAAATAGCCCTAATCCACGAGTCCCCAAGCCTACCTATCTCTGAGCAAAATGTTTGTAATGGCGCCAAGGAAATAATCGCAGGCGCGAACTCCACCACTTGTTGAGAATGGTTTTATGATGAAACTATGGCTCGTGAAATAAGTCACCTATAGGGGCTCGGCTTTCCCAGATTAGAGTCATTTTCCCACACCCTGGCCTCTAGGCTCCCTCGTTAGGGAATAGAAGAGGTGCCTCAATCAGAATTTCATGCAACCTTCTGTCCAAGACCAGACCGATCATCTAGGAAACATGATTTGATTTAAACAAGTCACATCATCGCTAGTGGGTCCAAAAAGGACCCCTCCATCTGTGCCAACGTATTTACTGGACACCGCGAACAGTCTCCGATTTGATGGGGTGCATGATTAGCCCTGCTTTTCACCAGTTAGTTATTGAGTATTGAGGTAAAAGTTCAGCATTGAAGCAACTGAAAAGAAATAACAGCAAGAACAAGCTGTGAGAATAATTTATTGCAGAACAGCTATTTAAATTGAGCGACTCGAGAAGTGTAACGTTTTTAAGTAGATGAACCTGTCCCCGGGGAGGTCAGGGGCGTTTTCATATGAAAGAAAGAACGGGGCGAGAGATGATCTGCCCACTAACACACCCGTAGAATTCGCCGAGCCTGTTTGCCTATGCAGCTTAACACAGTTAATCGCTTCCAAGCTCACAAACAATAATGGAAATCTAGAAATAGGACCTTGAGCCTCGAGGCTTATCGAGGTGTTGAATATTCGCCCTGAAAAATCGGCCGAAAGCGAGCTAATCATGGTTTACAGCAACAATTCTTTTTCAATTATCGTTGCTTTTCCTGCTTCAATCTTGTGCAGACAATGCACCATTCTGTAAAGTGGTCAAATGTTTTTTGGTTAATTTTCGAGTTTCGGCGCCAGGACTACACGGTAGCCATCCAATGTTTCCTAGAAATGATTTCCTCTGGCGAGCTAGTGACTTGTAGAAGGCTTCATTTTCACGCCACTTCTTTACCGTTTTGAGCGACGATTTGTTCCGGAAGGTGTGAATAAAAGAATGCTAGCCTCGAGATGAGAGTTTGGTTCTAACCCCAGGAGACAAAGAACTCTGAAATGAATGAAAAGATCACCTAGACAATAGAATATTTCTTTTCCTAAATAACTACAGTAGAAGGAAATGTATGCCGTAGCCTCAGATCTCTTAAGCGTTCTGCCCTTAATGCCCTTTTTTACTACTACCACTATGACGGAATAGCGCCTTATTTTTCGAATGGAATCTAAGTACAGAGTACAAAAGCAAAATAGCGCAAAAAGGAGTAAATGCTTTAAAACAAGGGCTGTAAGACAAAACCCATCTAGATGAGTAAAGGCTAATACTAGATATCGCAGTGATGCGCCTTGGAACGTCTCCAAATCCACCGCTGCAAGGAAGAGCCTATTAGGCCTGCTATTGCGCTAGAATTTCCTGCCCAATTAGGTGACATCCCGTAGAAGGTCGCTAATTGCGGGCGCTCAAGGCGATCCTTACTCTGCACTGATAGATGCTAAGAGCGAAGCGTGACCTGTTACTAATTTACACGTATATCGGCACGGATCGACGACGAGGGGCCATTCTGCACCGTTGCTACTTCCCATCGACGTGCCGAGCCATCTAAAGAGCTACAGCTGCGGAAAAAAACTTGGGACGAGCCCTTAAATCGCATTCTAAACTTTTTTTCAACAGCAATACAGTGGAAAGTGGAGCAGACAGCGGAAACCAACAAGAGGAAGCTGTTCAGGGCTCTGAATTTGGCTTGCTCACTATTAAACTTGATTGTAGTCTTCATCATCCGTGAAGCCAACTCCATAGTAGCTTCAGGGTTATCCATGCATATTTCACAGCAAATTCCTTGGAAATGCCCCTTTGACTCATGCTTTTGCGTCATCTCAAATATGCCTATGGGGTTGAGGTGAAGGCTCTTAGCGGTCATTTTGTCATCCCGTTGCTGGCCCTGGGTGCCGGAACCTAGATTTCACGTACTTTTGTTTGAAGCGTACTTTATCTATATCCACAATACTTCGGTACACAACTCAAGGAAAATCAAGTAATAATTTGATAGAGAATTCTGGTTCTTTTGGCTTGTTCGAGGTTTTTTTCCGCAGCTGTATTTCATCAACCTACAAGGAATTACAGTTCTGCTACGGTGATTCGAAGTGTTTGCTCCAGCTTCAGAGGCGTTCACAGGTTTCAGCAGAGTAAGATATGCAAACCGAAACTAGTGGAGCGTGAAAGGGCAAAATGCCCCCACGTCGCCGAACTGGCCCCAAATATCCATTGAGCGCTCAGTGATGAGTGCAGGTCAGTATTCCGGGGAGGTTATGGTCGTCGTTATGGTTCTGTTAGGTTGAGGGAATATTAAAGCACGCCCTCTTCATTTCTCTTTCTTTCTCTGCCGTCGATTTTTCCTGAAACTGTGACAGTTTGGAACAAATTTCGCAATAAAGATGTGTAACACCTTCATTTTGATATCAATGCCTTACCGTAATCTCTTTAGAACGGGGTAGAGCGGGTTACCCAATCATTTGAAATTTTCTGCATGGTCTTGTTGTCGAACCCTGTATCACTGGTCGATAGAGGGTAAATCACTA